GATAAGTAGCCTCGTGTGTGTGTGTGTGTGTGTGTGTGTGTGTGTGTGTGTGTGTATGTGTCGTAGTGCACGTTATCTTGGTGATGATTAACGATACTGCCTTATCTAAAATTTTAAGCATTTGCTTCGCGTTAGTGATCGAGGAAATCTGAATGCGAACGAACGGGTGCTTATGCTCGTTTCCTTTCCCGGAAAGATCGTGACGTCAAGTGCACGGATTGGTGATCGCGATGTGACCTACGAGTGAACTGATCGTTAAATTAATTAGAAAATTGAAATATAGCCATACGAAAGTTGAGAAGCTCCATCGGAATTTCGTGGAGGGAGATGTAACTATTTTCGTTTCTATGACGTTCATATATATATATAAATAAAAATCTAATATTTTATTAGAAGAGAATATTTATATGTAAAATATAAATAAGAAGATACGTCCTTATGTTAAAATTGTAGAATTATATTACATATATATTCTGCATATGTATAAACTTGGTAGATCTGATGTAGATTCGGAAATTACATTATTACATAACCAATATATATGGAAAATAATACATGTTATCCAATTTAAGTAATATCATATAAATTTTTCAAATGATTTTGGTACTATTTAACGTTCTACATACTTCAGCATATATTACCTAATTAATATATTACCTAATATCACCTAACATTACCTAACAGAATGTATAACGTAACTTTCTTGAAATGTATTGAAATGTATGAGCAATATGCTAAATATTTATTAGTATAAATCAATGTAGCTTGAAACAAACATCTATAAATTATCAATTACAATCTTTTAAGGGAGGTAAAGTGTAACGTAAATTTACAGCGAACAAAAAAACATGAAAATGCATAAATTTCTCGAAAGAGTCTTGACGTGTGCACGGCTTCGCCATGAAATATGCGTATTATAGATTTTCTTCAACGTGGTTTGAAATCTAAAATATAACACGTGTCTAAATAAATAAAGGGAAAAAAAAAACTGCAATGTACAGAGTCGGTGAGTCCGGGATTCCTGTGACGTTGGAGGGACGAGAAGGAAGAACGAGAAATGCCGGGTACCCTGACATATCCGATTTACGCCGGTGTTGATCCAGTTCCACCTAGAAGACGTGCCTACTCATGGACCGCGCAGCATCATCCCGCATCACGTGTGACAGAGGTCAATGCGCAACTTGGTCGGGCGTCTTTGTCGGAGTCTGCGGTGAGATATTGATATGTATACGAGAGATATGTATGCGAGAGAGAAAGAGGGTCGTCTGTGAATATGGTGTATGTGTGATGTGTGTGTTTGAATACACACATAGATGCATTCCACTTCTAATTTCCGCACACTCGCAAAGCGGAATAATGCAGCAGAATATTAAATTAATGTAACAGCCATCGGTGCAATCTTTTCTGATTGGCTGTAACAAGTTCTGCTCTCCTGCATTCCGTTTTGCAAGTGTTGAATGGAATGGAGCTACTGTGATTTCAATAAATGTTCATAGTCCGTTCTTATATTTGAGATCGTCTTAAGTAAGTTTGTAGCTATTTTATTGATTGAAGTTGTAAGCTATTTTATTGATTGAAATGTAATCTATCAATATTAATATTCATATCATAGTTTGTTTTATATATTTAAGATGTTTTAACTCGAATCGACTCGGCAAAAATAAAATGGCCGCGTAAGGGTTATGGCAAATGAAAAACAGTAAACAGTAAAGCCAGCGGCACACGATGCTTTTTTTCTTGCTGGTTTGCTAGCTGGATTTGCGTGCTTATTGAATTCTTGTCTTCGATTGGTATATTTTTTAGATCCAAAAGAATATACCAATCAGAGACAAGAGCACGCAAATCCAGCTAGCAAATCAGCAGGAAAAAAAGCATCATGTGCCGCTGGCTTAAGAAAATTGAATATGTTAAACGATAAGAAAATTGAATCTGAATAATCATATTCGATTATTCTTTTTATAGTCGAGGAATAATTGTCTATATGATAAACCACTTTTCTTACTATTTACGTTTTACTGCTTAAGTTTTTCTGTGTCATGAGTTTAATATTTTGGGCTTGTACGAGCTTAAATATAAGATCGGATTGTGAATAACGCTTTACGAATATCTGTACGAATGTTGGTACTCCTGCCAATTTCTTTCCGTAGTACAAATGAAAGCAAAGTTAGCAAGAAGAAAAATGGAAAATCTTTCGAAAATTTTAAAATTTCCTCACGAAAAAATTTCTACATGCAATTACAAACGCAATTGCAATGTCAAGCCACATAATAAAGAGCGAACCACAAGTTTGATGGCTATTTTAAATGTATAATGCGTTACTCAATTCAAAATTTATTATAGATTTGTTACTACAAAAACATTATATTTTTTTGTATCTCTTTTTAAAATATTATTTTATTTCTAATTAATTTTGATTTATATTATGTAGTAATAGATTTTTCAAATAATAAGTCTTTCTAGATAATAGGTTGCAATCAACTTGGGTATTTAAATATTGTCAAATTCACAAAGTCACGTAAAAAGTTACGTAAATCAGTTATAAAGATATCTTTCATCATAATTTTTATTTAGTCACGACTTTTCAAGGTAGGATTTTGTCATAATTCTAGAGATATAAGATAAGAACAAATTTATATAATAATTCTTTGTTCAATGCTATGATTATTAATAAAATTTTTAAAACGGTATTTTATATTAATAAATACAAATATCATTTTCCAAAATTTATATACATAAACTATATATATTAATATTAAATTAACATTTATTAGATTAACACAATATATAATTTATATATATATATATATATATATATATATATATATATATATATATATATATATATATATATATATATATATTTAAGCAGTTTAAATACACATGAAAAATTTTTTAGGAATTTTCCTCTCATGTTTTGTCGTCTTTAAATTTTTTTGTTAAACTTTTATATTTTTTTCTATTATTCCATATATCTCGATAAATAAATAATATTCTGTTATAGAGAATAGCTCGTAACGAAGATTTAAAATAAATTACAAAACAATTTTTCGAAAATTGTTCATGTTTACGCGTAAATGAGAATCGATCAGGTTTGCTGCTTTTTGAATATTTAAAAGGTTATCTTTGAACCCGGAAGCGGGTATGTCACATCCGCCACGGTCGCGCAGCAGTCGCGGAGAGGGGTTAGCACAAAATAGGTTTCTTGATGGCACACAAGAAACTGTGAGGCCCGTTAAATAGCAAGAGAGAGCGGTCGGCGATTAGATACCAATCGAGCACACGTAACGTTAATGGCAGAGGAACATGTTTACGGTTACAATCCGACGGCCGGAGTCGATGGCGATTCCGTACGTAACTACATTTTGACAGTTTGACAAGTACAGGTTGGGTTCTGGGCGACTGATAAAGGTGCAACGGACGAGTGTTACTTTCGGGCACGAGCTGTTTATTGCCACGATGTTGTTTTTTTCTTCCACGAGGCGTATCCGTTGCCGTTGACATACATGGTGTGTTGCCACTAGAGGCGCGTGTCGCAATGATGATGACGACAATTCGTATCATATCAGAAAAATACCAATCCCTGATATCAATCCTAAATTATATTCATTGGCAACGTAACATCGTATTTTAACGACGTCGCTCGCACGTGTCTTCGCAAGTGGCTAAAACGCACTTTCATTGATTACTCCATTCCATATTTCAGTATTTGTTATTGCCACAAGCAATACTTTTGTTAAACTTTGTTAATAACTTTGATATAATTTAATATAACTGGCGACACGTCTTGTGCAATATAGTGCAATATTCAAGGAAGACTCGTCTGCCATTATATGATAATAATCAGTTGGACAGATATCACCTGATAATTTTTCTATACAAAAGTAAAGCTTGTATCTTTGATATCGTGATTTAAGGCTTGAAATAGAGCTGCAATAATATATGGAAAAGATATTATAAAATTTTCAATTATGTTTTTGATATGCATTAATTTTTATTAGTGTTATGTTCATATGTATGTATGTGTATATATATATATATATATATATATATATATATATGTGTGTATATAAAATTAAATTTGACTATATAATTATAAAAGTATCCAATTATGTATATATACAATTATGTATATACACTTTACATTAATATTATTTAATTGATATTTGTTTGCTTTGTACGTTTTATTTGCAAATGCAAAATGAATAACTTATGAGGATATGGCTAGTAATCATTCCAGTCAGCGGTCACGAGTTAAAGGAACGTTGGAACTCTATCACGCATACATTTCCGACTCATCTAGTATTGAAAATGATAACGGAGACGTATCTGATTCGGGCGGATGGGAATTAGTACAGCCAGAGAGTAACAGTCCAATAGAACAAAGCGCAGATGTATGTACAAACAGATGTTCTATTAATATAGCCAGTAAATATATTTTTTAGTATGAGAAATTGATTGCAACATTTTTTACATGCTTGCATGCTTGAAATGAAAATAATCTTATGATTTTATCAATTATTAAATTATTTGAAACACTTGTGCAGATTACGATGGTTAATAGGCCATTACCACCAGGATGGGAAGAAAGACAGGACGCAAATGGTCGTACATACTATGTTAATCATATAGCGCGTTTCACGCAATGGGAACGACCAGAACCGTATGTGAACATTTATTTAATATGTGAAAATATTGTATATAATATATATCTTACAAAAATGTTATTTTTTATAATAGAGATACAACAGCGACAAGTGGAATTGTTGAACAACGTAATCTGGATACAGCAGCTACTGAATTTCAACGACGATTTCATATTAGTGCTGATGATGAAGGCAGACATAGAAATTCTGTAGTAAATCAAGTAAGTTTAACAATGTTTTTCAATTTTAAGTTATTTTTGCATAAACTTAACATACTTATGTTACATAAATAACATATCTAATATAGAAAATTAGATTACAATTAATATTAATATACTAATTTTTCCACATATACGTAGGAAAACATTGAGCTATTAAAATTAAATTTACCATAATAATCTTGTTTTGTTCTAAATAGTTCAGGCTATTTATATTATTATTTTGTTATGTTATCGATATTACATAGGATGCTCATAGAATATACACGAGATATATAATGCAATTTTTTGCATTAGAAGATGCAATTTTTTCCTGTACCAAAATTTCATTGAAATAGTAATTTTAAATGAAAATATGAAGCTAACAAATGAGTGTTCTAAGTCATACGTAAATTATTGTTGTTATGAATGTGTATGATGCTTTTTTATTTTTTTGAAAATTTTCTAATAACTTTGCATGATATCTAAGTACCGCTCATTTGAATTCAACTTAAAGTGAACTGAAAGTTTTCTAATTGATATCTCTTACTCTATGGATAAGATTATCTTATATCAGTTAGACTATCATTCACGCATTACCAAATTTATTTTCAACTTTCAAAATATCGGAATACTTTCTTTTATTTATATATTCAAAGTAGTGATATTTAGACGCGTGATTTCATGCTGTTATACAGTTTTTAAATATATAGTAGAACAATATATACATCCAGTAGACGCCGTTATTGATTTATGCGTTGATGTAGAATGCTTATTCATTAGTTTCAAATTTTCAAAAGGAAAAGGTTGTTTCTTCTGATATAAAGAATTCTACTGTACATTCCGCGTGTGCAAATTGTGGGACATCGTGTATATTATATTTATATTTTAGAAAGTTTTCAAATTTTATTAGATTTATTTATATTTATAGAATAAATATACGAGAATACTTTTTAATATATTTCTAAATTATATTTTTTTGTACTTTTGTGAATTGAAATTGTGTAACACATAATGTTCTCTGCTTTCAAATCTCCATGCTGATAGGCATTACTATATTTTCTGTTTATTTATTTGTATCCAATGTAACATGTATTCGTACGCACACACGCACAAAATATATAATTAAACAATTTATTATTATATATAAATAATGCGATATATTTAATTCACTGCATTTGTAAAAATAGTAAAGGCACATTTTTAATTATGTATTAATCTATTTTATAAAATTATTTTAATGTCTATAGTTTTTTATAATATTATCAAGAAATTTTTTAAACTCAATAAATATTTATTTCGATAACGCGTTCGGGTGTATTTACTTGTATATAAATATATTTGTTATTGCGTATTTTCTTCAGTGTGAAGAATGTGTTTAGTAAACAATGTGGTGAAATATAGAAATATATCCTAAACAAATTAGTAGATGTGCACTAGCAACTTAGCGTTAAACACTGATAAAATTAAATTATTAAGAAGCACAATTAGCTTTTTATTTTTCATGTGTTCTTAGATGGTTAAACAATATTTTTAATTCCGTACACATTAAAAATTCCGAAATTAGTGTATCTATTCATACAGTTTGTATGATTAGCATGCAGTATGTAGAAATTTGTGCATGTGTGTGTAAGGATGGTGAAGTTCTACGCGAGGACGATGAAGATTCGGAAGCAAGAGATTGTGAGGGTGGGGATCATAAGGGAGGGGGTATTGGGGATACTTCTTCAGACTCCGGACGTTCTGTCGATCAACGTGGCTACCTTAGTGAATCTGAAGAACAGGTATTAATATTCATAAAGTTATGTTTATTTTTAGTTGAATGTAACGCTTAATACGTATATATTTACATTTGTGTGCTTGCTATAAAATAAATAATAACATATACAAACTTTATTTTATATATTAATTATTTATTTTATATTATATTATATTTATTTTATATATTATATATTATTATTTATTTTATATATTAATTTTCCAACTCTAATAAAGCTAAATCAAATGCATTATATAAAGACCGACACGTGTATTTTCATTTTTTCAGCTATTTGATTATGTTTTTTAAACATATGATTGGATAAAATATGCAAAAATATATAGAAATATCTAAATATTTTAGAAAGTTAGTTTTATAATATCAGATAAAACTTTATGTTTTTATACAAACTTTACTTTATTTTCTGTTTTTTTGTATATAATATTTGTTAACATTATTATTTTTTATGACACTGTATTTTTAATTTATTTCATGTTATTTATTTATTTCATGTTATTTCATGTGTTATTGCTTTATAATTTAATTTAATGATAGCATGTCCTGTTTAGAAACTTTATTTTAAAAATTTCTTTACGTATTTAAAGTTTAGCATGAATTTTTTTCATTGTATAATCATAAATTACATGCAAAATGATAAAGTTACATTTAAAAGTATATTTTCTTGTAGCATTAGCTTATTAATGAAGACACATATTATCATTTTATATTTACATGTTTTATTTTATTAAGTTGTAATATATATAGATTCTCATGTTATATTTACAGACTGATGATAATGTCGATAGTCCGGCTGGTTCGAGACGTTCATCAGAACAGGTATATTTAATGTTTCTTAAATTATTTATATAATGTCACAACATATAATATCTATTCTATTTTATTTGATTGTAAAAATTTTAGATTGAAAGTCCCAAACCTACTCTTCCTGTGTCTAATGATGAAGGATTACCTCCTGGTTGGGGTATGCAAGTAGCACCTAATGGTAGAATATTTTTTATTGATCATAATGAGAGAGCGACAACCTGGATTGATCCCAGAACCGGAAGACCAAGCTCTATACCTAATCATATTGCACCATCAACAACATCAAGAAATGACTTAGATCAATTAGGACCTCTTCCAGAAGGATGGGAGGAAAGAGTACATACCGATGGACGAATCTTTTTTATAGATCATAGTACGATCATAGCTTTTTATAATATAAAATTTTAAATCTAGTAATTTACTTGGATGGTAAATTACAATAATACTTGGATATTTATTTTTCTTGTTACAGATACGAGAACAACACAATGGGAAGATCCACGTATGTCTAATCCTCAAATTGCTGGCCCAGTATGAGATCAAAATTTTATACATTTTTCTATATGATTATATAAATGAATATGTTTGTACAAGTTTGAAATGTATTATAAACTTATTCTGTTATTTTTTTTTAGGCTGTACCATATTCCAGGGATTACAAACGTAAATATGAATATCTGAAATCACAATTGAGAAAGCCTGTATGTATATTGATATTTTAAATAATTTTTAATATAGATTTTTACATGTGATTGTATCTTTTATTATAGAACAATGTTCCTAATAAGTTTGAAATAAAAGTTGGACGGAATAATATTTTGGAAGACTCGTATCGTATCATAAGTTCTGTTAACAGAGTTGATATTCTAAAAACAAAATTATGGGTAGAATTTGAAGGAGAGGTAGGTTTAGATTATGGTGGCCTTGCAAGAGAATGGTTCTTCTTATTGTCTAAAGAAATGTTTAACCCATACTATGGACTTTTCGAGTATTCTGCAACGTAAGTATAAAAGACTTATTTTAATGCTTATAATATATAATTACAGAACAAAATGACATTTTTTTTATTTTTAGAGATAATTATACACTGCAAATTAATCCTTGCTCTGGTGTATGTAACGAGGAACATTTGAATTACTTTAAGTTTATTGGACGTATAGCAGGAATGGCTGTTTATCATGGCAAGCTTTTGGATGGTAAGTTTTAATATATAATAAAATATATAATAATTATAATTAACGTATATAATAAAGCTATACTAATAAAACTATATTTTTGCTTCTTGCAAATTATTTTTTAGCTTTCTTTATTCGACCATTTTATAAAATGATGTTGGGCAAGCCAATCGATCTAAAGGATATGGAGAGTGTTGATTCTGAATATTACAATTCTCTTCTGTGGATTAAAGAGAATGATCCTAGTGAATTAGAACTCACTTTTAGTCTTGATGAAGAAAGCTTTGGTCATACTTCCCAAAGAGACTTAAAGCCAGATGGTGCTAATATTCCTTTGACCGATGAAAATAAGGACGAGTATATAAGTTTAGTTATACAATGGCGATTTGTATCTCGCGTACAAGAACAAATGAATGCTTTCTTAGAAGGTTTTAATGCTCTTATACCGCCAACATTGGTAAAAATATTTGATGAACATGAACTAGAGTTGTTAATGTGTGGTATACAGCATATTGATGTGAAAGACTGGAAACAAAATACTTTATATAAAGGGGACTATCATGCAAATCATATTGTTGTACAATGGTTCTGGAGAGTCGTTTTGTCATTCAGTAATGAAATGCGTTCTAGATTATTACAGTTTGTGACTGGCACATCACGTGTTCCAATGAATGGATTCAAAGAACTTTATGGCAGTAATGGACCACAGTTATTTACAATTGAGAGGTGGGGTACACCAGAGAATTACCCAAGAGCTCATACTTGGTGAGTTTACTTTATCAAATGCATTCCTTAAAATTTCAATCCTATATTTCTTTATACATTAAATATATTAAATTTTGACAAAAATTATAGTCATACAGTCATTTATCAATTTTGCTTATTATTAAAGAAACAATTTTCTATATATAGATTTGTTATACAATATAAATTATTATTTCAGTTTTAATCGTATTGACCTTCCTCCGTATAAAAGTTATCAACAACTCAGGGATAAGCTAGTTAAAGCAATTGAAGGTTCTCAAGGTTTTGCTGGAGTCGACTAGCACGAAATACCTTTGTTCATGATGATATCTGTAATATAATGTATATATTACATATATTTCATATAGAGGTACACATAGAAAAGTATATTATCTCTCTTAACATAATTATCTATTTAAAAATTTTCTGCACTTTAATATTTTTGTTGTCTCTTAATTACGTGAGCAACAACATTATAATAGATTGAAAATAATATGTTTAAAAAATTAAATTACTTAGTTTTTCTAAATAACTTTTAATAAGTTCTTTATACTCTTTCACAGCATGCTGCATTTTTAAAAATACTTATTGCAAATGAAAAACATTTAAAATGTATTATCAAAATGCAGTCAAACATTAATCTATATTTTAAAAACATGCCATGTAGTTATTACTATAACTTTGAGGTTTCTTAAGAAAATCAATTTGGCTGCTATAATAATGTGATATTACAATATTGATTTATTGATTTTTCTTTTTTGTTAATATTAGAATGTTATTACAAAATGCAATTTTGTGCATATGACTATATGGCATAATCACGGCAAACTGTTTCACATTTCAGTCATAAAATGAGAGCAATCAATATTATTTTGCAACTTAAAGATAAAACAGCAAATGCCTTATGTCTACACATAGATATAATTTCTTCATTCTTTTCAAATTAGTGAAAGATAACAGAATTAATCTTAATTATAATCTTAATTTGTTTTCAATTAGTTTAATTTTTGAAATTTGCATTTATATCATATTTTATCAATAGAAATTATTTAATTTTCATTTTAAAAGATTTGTCTTATAATTTTATATCACAAACTTTAAATATTGAAAACTGCAACTGTGGTTTATGAAAAAAACATTATTTTTTTTATTAAATCAAACTTTGCTAATATTGTAAATATGGATTATATAATTTTAATAATATTTTTATAGGATATACCAAACTTCTCTTTTCCAATTTTAACAGCATGCAAGTTTTTAATCCTTTTTCACTGTTTAATAAAGCTGTTAATATTTTTGTTGAGGAGCAAAAATAAAATGCTCGTCGTACATATTTTACATTCATATATATGTATAAACTAACTTAGCTCTTTTTCCTTATATATGTTGTTTCTTTTGCAATCTTTTTATGGTTATATCAAATGATAAAAGATAGCATAGCGTAGAAATCGTATTATTCACGAGCGTGTAACTTGTATAATGTATAAAAAAAGTAAAAATGCACGTTTTAAACGACAAACAGTTTTTGTTGTTCAATTATGTTATTAGAAGAAAAGGCAAGAAAGAAAAACGATAAAATCAAAGCTAATAAAATAATTTTTTATTTCAAAATTTTTATCTCATTTTGTGTTAGTACAGAATGGAGTTAGCTTAGAATAAGTTATTTGAAAAAAATTTATATTTTATTGTATTAACATGTAAAATAAGAGACTCGCTGATTTTTAAGTAAACTAATAAAGTTATAAAAAAACTATTGACGAATTAACAAATTGAATTAATTGGTTGCAGGTTATATCATTAATGTTACCTTGCTTCTTCTTCTGAGTTTGTAATAACTTAAGGATGTCTGTTGTGCTCAGGTAGCATAATTATATATACTATATTAATTGAAGGAACAAATTGTTTATAACATTGTTTCCCAGAAATCTTATCATTGTGTATATTTTGTCAATATTTTGGTGCAACAACACTCAATAGTCTTGAAAATAATATAAATGTTGCTCCTTGTTAAAAATCGAAGATGATGAAATTAATGTCAGATGCGAATGCCTATCTTGTATTATAACATTTATTCACAGAATTAACGTACATTCTGAAGGATACGGAGTTGATATAACATTCCATCCTATTTGTACAGCTTATTTTATTGTAAACAGGTACGTCCCGTTAGATAATAAATAATATTGTCATGACAGAAATTTTGTGGCCTTAAATTCTGGTTATGAAATTTCTTATTTTAATAAGTCTCTCGTTCGTAAAATCTAGATTCGTACGATAGTGAAATGCGCCAATTATTCGTCGGTAGGTGAATATCCTTTTGTACTCCTTCATCTTCATATTAGATTTGCAGAGAAATGTGTATAAGTTTACATTTAATATGTTAGTACTTGTTAGCTTGCAGATAATAAGCTTTATCCAGTGTAATCTAATATGTTATGAAGTGCGTATAAGACCGTAAATTCATAGAACAATGAACAATCAGCGCGTGATCCAATCTTCATGATTTATAATGAAGATTGAATACAGAACAAAATTATTATTATGCAGTGCAGTGTTCTTAAAATCTATCTTTCAGAATCGGTCTCTTTATATTAATGCTTTACATTTAATTTTTAAAATATGATTAAATATAAATTGTGAGATATAACGAGATGGATTAATTTTTTTGTTTCAATGTATTGACATGCATATATATCATTTATCATATAAATTAATAATTTGACTAATAATGGTTAGAAGCGAATAAGTATTATATATAGTTAATGTTAGATGGATTTATTAGAACACTAGTCACAATGTAATGCGGACGATGCGAGAGACTCGTAAATTTTGTAATCGTAGTTTGAGTATGCTCTATAGCTCTTATAGCTTCTTGTATTATATTCCTATAAAGAAAAAAAGATGATAAATACGAAAAAGAAGTATATGAATGATAAGATATTTAATGAATTTAATAATTGCATTTGGTATCCAATGTATTATGTAACATTTTTACAGACAACGTGTTAAAATTGTATTTACTTGTAAATCGATGATATAAAAAATTTAAATGTAGGTATTATCGGATAGATGTTTTGTTTGAAAATGACCGCATTTATGCTTGATCTATATAAATAGCCCGTAAAACTTAATGCCTTACGATAATTATATCACGCATTAGAATGTATCTACTTAACGTTTGCAATTATTATTTACTGATGTAATAATATGTTGACTTTACTACTGCGTCAGATAGCTATTATTTGTCGGTACACTTTATGTGTCTATATTCATATGTCTTTTCACTACCAATGCCTTATTTAATTTAGGAAGGAGACTTAATTATTTTAAGCTAGCTCAATGTGGTACAGAACATATTTTATTTACATATACTTATGTGCACGAACTGAAATAAATGCGTGACTTAATTACGTTACATTCGTGTAAATATAAAAAATATATATACGTTGTAATATATTATATAAAAAAAAATGAGCGCTTCTATATCGCAGTTGCAACAAGGAACATAAAAATATGCTTACCGTGCTATGCCCTTATGTTACGATCACTAACGAGATACGGTGGTTTTCAATTTATGACAAAAAATTTTAAGCATTAATATTATATTTAATGAAATTAATATTACAAGACGAATTATGTTCTTATATAATGTATATTGTGGAAAACCATACTATATATGCAAATAAATTATATTAAAAAGTTGCACATTATGTAATTTTCGACATCCATAGATGGTATGACAAAGAAGATTTTACATTTTTTTGTATCAATTTTTTATTTATTTATCTCATTTATTTCTACAAAGTCCATGTATTATTTCGTCTTGTAAATTATTTAATTGCCATTAAGCTTAGTGAGGTAATTGACAATCTGCTCTTTATAAAACTTACGAAATAGTGAATAAAATCATATGAAAATATTTCTCTTTAATATAATCGGATTTACAGAATATTTTTTATCAATTTTATACGATATATTTCTATCGTGCTTGTTTCATATTTCTTTGCGTTCTTCACGTTCTTCAGAAAATTAGATTCTACGTCGAGATAGCGAATCGCGTTGATCGATTCGTTAACGCAGATTTTGAAATGAGCTGCCGGAAATGATTCGATCTTGGGTGCGTTCCCCCCCCTCCCCCTCCACCCCCCTCGCCGTTCGCGTTCAAACGTCCCGCTCGATGTCGCGCCAGCGAGTACGCCCACGCGCCGCGGGATGGCCCTAGTCGCGGGCACATCCGCAGAATCAAAAAAGACAGTTGGGAAGTGT